CGAGTTCATCGCTCAGAAGGCAGGAAAGATGCTGTAGGAGATCGATGTTCAAGCATTAGTGAAGATAAGTTTGAAGCATCCCGAATTTCAAGAGCATATCATGGTGCCGCTGGGGCAGCTGCAGTCAAGAACTTTGAGCCAAACAAGTTTCGGCTGGAGGAGAAGCACAAAATGTACACGGCTTTTGTAGCACCATTTGATGTGTACGAATATAATCGTTTACCTTTCGGATGGGAAAACAGTGCAAAGTGGTTGCAGAAAATGATGAATAGTGTTCGCAAGCCATTCCTTGGATTATTCTGCAATGTATACGTAGACGATATCATAGTCTATTCCAAAGATGAAACATCACACGCAGGACACTTGACATCTGTTTTGATGGCATTAAAAGATGCCAAACTGGAAGTGAACTTTAAAAAAAGTGAATTTTTCAAACAGAAGATTACATTTCTCGGACGCATTTTGGGCGGCTTTTTAAAGAGTACCAAAAAGGGTCCGTATAACGTGTACGATTGATTAATAAGCCAGACAATGTACACGCAGTCAGAGTGTTTCTTGGCTTCACAGGACATTTTAGATGCTACATAAAAGATTTTACAGCACGAGCGAAGTCGCTGAACAACTTGCTTCGTAAAGACACAGATTTCATCTGGACGGAAGAATGTGAGAGGGCGTACGAAGATTTGGTATTAGCCATATCATCAGACCCAATACTCACACTACCGGACGTCACTGTTCGATTTCAACTCACAACGGACGCATCAAACTACGGCGCAGGTGCGGTGCTGTACCAACGAAGAGACACAAAAGGAAGCGAAAGAGCAGAACGACAAGTGATAGGATATTACTCCTACACTTTCACGAAGTCGGAACAAAATTACTGAAAAAAGGCATTAGCGTTTGTACTGGCAATTAGGTATTTCGGATCGTACCTAGAAGGCACGAAATTCAAGTTGTTCACTGACCATCAGGCCCTTACCCACTTGCTAAATGGTTCTCAACCGCAAGGCCGAGTCGCTAGATGGATAAGCGAAATTCAACAGTTTGATTTTGAGTTTGCACATAGAACCGAGCGAGATTTGTCAGAAGCTGATGCCCTTTCTCGGCTTCCCGTTGTCAATAACTGTTTGGGCGACGAGAGGGTGAACTCTTTTCAAATATGGGAAGGCAGTGAACAACTGATGTATATAGACGGAAAGTTTCACGTACCGGATACTTTGAGAAAAAGACTTCTTGACCTTTATCACGACAGTCCAGAGTCAGGAGGGCATGACGGCTTCTGGCGGGCATACTATAATATGAGGAGGAAATTTGCATGGCCTGGAATGAAGAAATGTATTGGCAATTATATTAGCTCATGTCAGAAATGCCAACTGAACAAAGCAAAATATAAGGAAAAGATGGACAGCATAATATTTCCACATTACTCAAATGTCCCGTATGAAGACGTTCATGTTGATTTTGCTCAACTGAAGAAAAAAGGCGGAGTGAAGAAAACCCGATCCTTTTTAGTGTGCATTGATAAATTCTCACGGATGCTAGCTGCCAAGCCAGGAAAAGAAAATGCCGCTACTGTCATGTCTTTTGAGCACAGACATGTTTAAAGGGGTGAAGTGTGTTGCATCTGACAATGGATCCACGTTCAAAAGCTAGACGTTCACAAAGTGGGCAAAAGAAATAATATTACCCTGAAGTTTACAGCACCTTACCACCCATCAGCTAACGGACTAGTGAAGCATGTCATCTGAGATATCAAACAATATATAAGTGTGTACCCGGTATTTACAGGAGGGCAGAAATGTTGTCTCTAAGCAGCTGTGTCGCACCAGAACAGGTCACATACAACGACTCTTGGGTGCAGCCCTCAATACGACGCCTTCGGCGAACCTGCTTATTTACCTGCGGATGACACACTTGGCATAGCAGAGAAACTTCGCTTGAAATAAGGGAGAAAAAACTTTTGAGCAGCAAAAGAAGCACAGAGATGCTATGAAGGAAGCATTTGACAAACGTCATAGCACAAACATTCCCGCGATAGCACTATGTGATATGTGTCTGCTGCAAAAAGGTTATGGTAGTACTAACACAAAACTTGTGGGTCTATTTAGAGGGATGAAACTGGCCACGAAAGAAGGGAGTGCTGAAGACCATCGGCTACATGATGGAAAACGGTGTGATAGAAATATCACCCATTTCCAATGTCATCCCTTATTTGGAGTGAGGGGATGAAATAAAGGCCGGGAGAGTGCAGCGGGCCGGTACTACAAAGGACAGATTTGGTGGGAACAGGGGAAGATCAGGAAAAAGAACAACGAATTCGTGCTTTGGGTCTATGCCGGTTGTGATAGAATGTTACAACTAGCTTGTATTTTAGTGGTGCAGTCAAATCTGATTACATTGAACTGATTGATTGACTAATATGTGAGGTATAATGTTCTGATTCCACCCTATGATTATGAGAGATGCTGTAATGGAGGGCTCCGGGGATTTCGACCACCTGGGGTTCTTTAACGTGCTCTCAAATATGAGCACACCGGCCTACAGCATTTCTGCTTCCATTGGAAATGCAGCCGCTGCAGCCGGGATTCGATCCCGCGACTTGCGGGTCAGCAGCCGAGTATCTTAGCCACTAGACCACTGCGGCGAGGCAGAATATATTGAACTCTAGTTTACTGAACTACCCTTTATGTTGAACTGCTTATTTTGATTCTTTGTTGTGTACTTGCCACCGGCATTGCAGGGTCATCATTCACTTTTTCGCTCACTTGTTCTTGTGATAGGTGGGACAGCATTGTAACGAGGAGTGATGCATGAAATTGTACTTACACACTGTTTGAAGTCTCACATGTGTCTTCTCTTCATGATGCAGCACTTCGTTTTTTTATAGACTAAAAACATGCCTCCTAATTGTGCCGCACCCATTCAGTTTCATGACATTTGACGTTGTTTTGCTGTGTTATATTTAACCACAGCAGTTCCACTGATTGTCATTTAACTGCATAAAGTCTTCAAAAAGGGGAAAGCAGATACTTGGCGCATTGGTTTCGTTCAGTGGGATCCATTCATATCCTTTACATAGCTCAATATTTCTTTCCAAGTTCAGCTGCTCAATGTTGAGTTGTTTTATGTATAGTGTTTATTTTATCAAAAATATGTGTTGTTACATCAAATTAAGAGCAGAAAGAGTAATGAGTAGTGATGAGAACTAATATTATGTCTAACAAAAGAAAAAAAATCAAGACCTCATATTCGCAATAGTCTTTATTACTGAAAAATCTGTCTTTCAGTTATAGTAATGAAAAATTCAATTGAGTTAGTTTCAACAATCGAGCCTATGAATTTCAAGGTTGTTTGTATGTTTGAGTGTGCTGTGTTTGTGGGGGCTTTAATATTGTTTTATGTGCTGTTACAGATGTTTCGCTCTCCTGTGTGGAGAAGCAAAGAAATATTGACAGGAAGGCATCGGACCACAATGCACCTCCTTCTTGGAGACCATTCATCATTTTACACTTATGTTGGAGCTTAATACGATATGAGCACAAAAGTGTGACGATGATGTGACTGTTTATGGACTACTACTAATGACTCGTTGCATTGAAACGAGTAATATTGACTTTGCAGGCAGTTTCTGTACTGTTATGCAATTGAAATTGTGAAGATTGTAACAATTTACTCACAGTGTGTGGGCTGAAAACTTAAGTGTAATGGAATTGTGCCTGGCTTACAAAAACCCGAGGAGCCGACAGGTGTGCGTGTGTGTTAGTGAGCCATGGGTTAGGAATAGGCAACAGTCAATATGCCTGACTGACACACTTGCACATCTGTCAGCTCCTCTCGCCCTTCCTCTTCCTTCACTTCATCTCAGGGACGATATTCTTCATTTTACATAGGTTTGCCCATTACCTTCACTGTGAGGCCACGCTTGAAATGCATTTAGTGTGTTGAGTTTTGTGCATTGTGTCATCATATATCCATGGCAGTTTCATCATTTTGGAAGGTGGGCTTCGAAGTATGTACGAAGGTGTAGCGATTGTTCTAATTCAGTGTAAATAGTTACACACTGTGATAAATGAAATAGTATCTACACGTGTGAGGTATTGTAAGTGTCTGAAATATATTATATTAATACAGTAGAGTCTCTATGATATGATTGCTGTTGATGCTAATTTTGTCACAATACGAATTTTAAGGTTGTTTTTGATCCACTACAATACATAAAGCACGAAGTCATTCGATGTTATACAAACGGTTTTCCCAGCCACTGCGGATGATACTCACGCATAACTGACTGATCCACTTGAATGGCACAACACAGCTTGTCTGTAAAAGGGAGCTGGGAGAGTGAGCAAACCTAGGCACTTTATTGAGAGGGGGAAAACAAGAAAGTGCAAAAGAACATGGCTATTTTCAGCAAAACTAGTTGACCCCAGTAAAGTTTCGTTCATCTTCATGGTTAGTTTAACCTATTTTTTTTGTTCATACAAATTTGGGATGACGCTAATATCTTGCATACTACCTTCGAGTTCGTATCATGGAGATTCTTCAAGAGTTCATTTTGTGTTTTATGGCATGATTATTCTTTCAAGTAGAATGGAGACCTTAAAGGGCCTGTAAACTGCTCCAATATATTTCCAAGCATTTCAAGTAAATGCGCACATCATGTGCAAAATGCCATCACGATCATCGATTCTACACGTGGCAGTGCTATAAGCCGCCGGAGCGCCACAAATTTTAAGAAATAATCCCTGCTTCTTTCAGGGCCTTTCAGGCCTCCGCGTGACGGGTCGTTCCACATCTCTGACGCGCCGAGCCAAGTATGCCAAATATGCTGTGATTGGTCGAGTAAGAGCCTACGACTTCGGGTCAGTCTGCAAGCAGCTGTCAGCTGTCCGCGCTGCTTCTTGTTCGTCAAGTCGCCCGCGTGCGTGCAAAACGTGGGAGGCACGGAGTGTCCCCGTACGAGTCCATCGCGTTGGCTATCTTTTGAAGGCATGCACGCAATGCAGGGTCCGTACCAGCACGATCACAGCAGCCGCAGTTCGCCAAAAAACTCGCAGCTACAACGCAACATACGGAGTCGACGGCTGGAGTCGCGGCAACCAGAATTAGGTGATGTTTCAAGGAACGTGCCAGCGATGGCGTATGCCACGCGAGATTAGGAGGGGCTTGTAAGGGGCGCTCGGTGAGAGGGCAAAGCTTCATGGGAAAGGATACCAGTGGAGGGAAGCGCAGAAGAAAGCGAGACGTGTGGTCGTCGCGGTTTGAATAATCCAACAAGTCTGACTCCGCTATTACTGCACAGTTTCGAAAAAATTATCGTGGCTTCGGGTTCGTCGTACACTCGTGCACAATTTTCCCACCACAACTGAATTTGGAGCTCAGGGTAGTTTACCAGACCTTTAATGTGAAGTGTATAAACTGTGCTGGTATACATAAAGGAACATTTTTTTATGGAATCCACGTAAATGTTCCATCATACCTGTCCACCAAAAACTGTGGTGCCGTAGAATTTGTTTCAGCTGATATTTTTTTCTTTTTCATGTTCTCCTATATTACCTTCTTTCACTCATGTCTTGTTTATTTTATTTGCTAAAGTATTACCCGAGTTTTGGTGTAGCATTCTTAAAATAAAGCATGATAAATATTATATTGTGCTTCTCCTTCTTGTTCTGGCATACTACTACAAAGAAATTTTGATGTTTAGGCATAGTATCAGAATATCATTCAAATCAGGCCCGTGTGCATTTGCCGAACATTTTGAATGTATTGAGGGGAGTTCTTACATCCAGAGAGAAGAAAATTTTTGTACAGCATGTCACGTCATTGCATGGTTACTACTGCAGTAACATGTTGTTTGCATAAGTGAAGTAATTGTCTACTTCATTTACCAATCCAGCAACCTTTGTTCATGTCCTAGAACTGTAATCTACTTACAGACGTGTTTCACATAGTCTTCATTGTCTTTTTGTTCTTTTCGTGACTTTGCAGGATCCTTGTCTTCGACATCGCATGAGCAGTACCAGTCACTGGTGACCGTTCAAGGTGGACTGCATTCCTGTCGTCAGTGCACCTATGTGACCAAGTACAAAGGGAACATGCAACAACATCTTTGCAGACATACGGGCGTGCACCCCTTTGAGTGCCATCTGTGTTCAGCTACATTCTCTCGGAACTATCTCCTGATGAGGCACATTTATACACACTCAGGAAAGCTTCTCTTTTCGTGTGACCACTGCAGGGCATCGTTTGCACACAAAGGGACCCTTGTGGACCATGTGGTGCACACCCACCCAGGGGAGCGTTCCTTTTCCTGTGACCAGTGCAGTGCATCCTTTTCATATAAATACTCCCTCGTGCTACACATGCGCTACCACACAGGGGAGCGTCCCTTTTCCTGTGACCAGTGCGATGCATCATTTGTGACGGCGCAGCTCCTCAAAAGCCACATGTACATCCACAGAGGCAAGCGTCCCTTTTCCTGTAAGCTCTGCAACGCATCCTACTCACAGAATTATAGACTCATGAATCATCTATCCCATCATCATGCAAACAAGAAGCCTTAAAAAGTGAGTGGTCCACAGCCTGCTTTCAAGAGAAGAGGAGATCTAGTAATAGGGGGATTGTTGATTAGAGGTTGCGGGGGAAAAGTAGATTGAGACTTGGCAAGTAACTTGGTTTGGCAATTCTCAAAGGAAAATGACATAGATTTGTGGGAGGAAAGGTGAGTGGTAGAAGAGTGTATAAAAGGGAGCCCACCTTGGGATATGAATATCGATACCACCTCGCACTTTTTTTCTGTAACACTCCCTCCTGGAGAAACACTGGTGAACGGCCACAGGCACTGGATTTCAAACTTTGTGCTTCCTGAAAAGTGACGGAGAAAAATCTCTCTGTCAACGGCACTGAAATTGCAATTTTCTAACTACGTGTTCGATAATTTGCATGTTGAGCTATAATGGCAGTGCTCTTTTTTTTACCTTGATTTATTTGTCTTGATTTTATAATGCTGCATATTAACTAGAAATAACTAGTAGGGGTGTATGTGGCACTTTATTTACAGGCTTCTCTCACATTAATTTGCAAATCATTCATATGTTTCATAGTTTGAATGAGCCTAAGGGTAATTCACACATCCATTTTTATTTATTTTAGACACACTGTAGAGGTCATATTGCATTTTCATCAGGCAAGATAAATAGCAAGTATTGCATGTAACAAACAACATGAGCCTTTGAATTTATACTTCATTACTTAATTCATAGCAAGGATGTTGTCGTGGCAGACTTGACGCTTTATGGTAGTTTGTAATGAATTATTGGTGAGCTGCCAACTCGTAGAGGCGCGTTTACACTAGAGTGACACTGACTGCGATCTTTGTCTGCCAACTTTCTTTGGGAGAATATTTTGTCTTTTAGTAGTCCTATTCACACCGTAACGACACAAACAGTCGCCGATGGTCTCTGGAAGATTCCATCCAAGCCTTGTCGTGCTCACAGCCTTTCGTTGGCCAATTATCTAGTCACACTGGATGAACGTACAGCGACACCGACTAAAATTGCACAAAGAACTTGAAAGAGGACCCCGCCTGCTTCTCTTTTTCAGCCATCCTCTCCATTTTTCTTTTGTCTCTCTATGGCTACGTGGCGCAGCCCCTGTCATTGTTTCTTGGGGTCCTAAAATTTTTCGTAAAACCCCTCTAAACTGGGACCTATGGAAGCTTAACGTACAGTTGTTGCGCGAAGATTGTTTTGTTAAAATAGTAAAAGAATCGGTACAAGAGGTAACACAGTGTCGACAGCTGTCAATTTTCGCTCAATGGGAAAGGTTCAAAGAAAGAGTCAAGTATCAGGCAATTGGTATTTCATACGAAATAGCGCAAAGAAAAAAAGCTGAAAAGCGCTATCTTTATGAATTACTTCATAAGCTCCATACTTTTGAAAGTCAACAGCCGGGATTGTACGGGGACGAGATAAATGTGATTCGAGCACAGATACAAAAACATGATACAGATTTATACAGAGGAGCTAAGATTCGTTCCCGTGTTACCCAATTCACTGAAGAGGAACCCACTAAAAAATCCCTCGGGGATGAAAAGAGATATGCACTTTCTAAACAGATACTGCAAATTGAGTCGCGGGGTTCCCTTTGCACAGAGACATGTGAAATAAGAGCCGCATTTGAAGATTATTACAAATGTTTGTTCACTGCGACTGAGCTTCAGGAGAATTTTGAGGAAGAAGCTAACCACTTCATTGCCCTTGTGCCTCAGTTACAAGATAATGATAGACTCCCTGTAGAGAGGCCAATAACCAGAGAGGAAATTAGATTTGCAATAACAACGTTGCAGAAAAACAAAACTCCTTGCCCAGATGGCCTTAGTGGCGAATTTTACATAGCTTTTCAGGAACCTCTGATACCTTTCCTTGAGCAACTTTTTAAAGAGGCTTATGACTGTGGTGAACTTCCTCCTTCTTTCTATCAGAGCCATACAACATTAATCCCAAAAAGTGCTGATTCTAATGCATTAAAGGGAGTTAGCGAATACAGGCCTATATCGTTATGTAACGTTGACTACAAAATATTTGCTAAATTGTTGACAAATCGGCTACAGACAGTGATTACTAAATATGTAGGTGACCACCAAACATGTGGAATTCGTGGTCGCTTTATACAGACAAACATTCATATTGCACGTTCAGTTCTTGAGTGTATAGATGGTAGCATGGACCAAGTAGCCCTCCTTCAAATAGACCTTGCAAAAGCATTTGATAAGGTACAGCATGCTTTTTTGTTCCGGCTCCTAAGACACCTGCAGTTGGGTGATGTACTATACAATGGTATCTCACTCTGTTATAAGAAGTACACAACTAGGCTAATTCTAAATCGCACACTTTCCAATATAATAGAGTTAAATTCATCTGTACGTCAGGGATGTCCGCTGTCACCTTTGCTTTTTGCAATTTATCTGGAACCATTATGTTTAAGTGTGCTTCTATAGTCCAGCATAAGAGGCTACCGATATGATGCTGAGGAAGTTAAAGTTCTAGCTTATGCAGATGACATTGCCTTCTTTTGCGCTGATAAACCCAGCGTTCAAGAAGCAGTCAACACTACTTTACGTTTCTGTGAAGTCACTGGCGCCAGCATAAATTTTGATAAAAGTAGTGGATTCTGGCTAGGCATGTGGGCTACAACTCCTTCGGTCTTCGCAAATATTTATTGGAATGCGACTCCTATGAAATACCTTGGTGTGCCTCTCGATAACTATCGTAACAGCGGCCCACACTGGACCGCTGCGATAACTACGATCCGCCAAAAGGTGGCAACATGGCACGGACGGGAGCTTTCCATTTTTGCCAGAACGAAAGCGTGCAATATATTCCTTGTATCGAAGCTTATTTATATTCTGCAGGTGTTGCATTGCTCTCGGGTACACATTCAAGCCTTTCATAGGATATTTGCCTGGTTTATTTGGAGCTCTTCCTGGGAACCCATGAGAAGAGACAATCTTTTTCTTCCACACGAAAAGGGTGGCCTCGGCCTTGTGCATTTGTTCGTGCGACAGTTGGTGTTGCGATTTTTCTACCTCAAGGATGTGTGCCACCCATTTCTATTAGCTGTTCTTCGTAACCGTCTATGTTACTGCCTTCCTTTTATTCATGTCACAACAAGCGTTGCTAAGGAATTGCCGTTGCGGGGATTCCTAAAAGAAATTGTTGATACTGTCAGTTTTTTGAAAGCCAGGTTTACCTTAGAGTATTTGTATACTATTGACAGAACAAATTTAACTGCTGCACTTGTGAATAACCTTTTCCCCAAACCTGTTTATCAAAAGCCATATTTGCTTCTGTCTGGTCACGATGTATTATTTCGTGTACGTAGAATGTGTATATCTCCTTCAGCCAAAACATTTTTCTTTAAACTGCACACTTCCACACTGCCAGTGAAAACGTGGCTGAATGAAAAATTAATATACGTACCCTGGACAGTGAATTGTAGACTCTGCAACCAACCTGAGACTATAGAGCATTGTTTTATTCATTGTCGTGATGCTTTTTATTTTTGGGACATTCTAAAAAGAACGTTAAGAAAAGAACTTCCAATCACAGCCCATGGTATTAGGTTCCTTCCGTTCAAAAAGAGTCTGACTGATAGTACTCCTTACGACTTGTTTATGTTGTTTGGACTTTATTCATTATGGAAAAGTCGCATGATCGATAGACACCACGAGCCACCACGGTCGACGAGATCTGTCTTCCGAGAAACAGCTGCTCAAGCGCGCAGTGTTGTCGAGACTTTTGACCCCGTTCCGGAGTGGCTTCCCGTTCTTGACGCTTGTGTGTGTTAATCTGACTTCTGATGAAGTATGTTCTGTGTACTTTACTGGTGACAATGTCATTCATTAAAGAAAAAAAACCCATGTGGCTCAGTGGTAAAATACTGGGCTGGCACCCAGCAGACCCGAGTTCGAGCCTCACTGTGTCAATGGTACTAGGTTTTTTTTTCTAATTTCATGCATTGTGGTTACATACACGGGTGGTGGCAGTGCACAACTATGGTAGTGCATGATTCGAGTTTTGATCTCTTAACAGCATTCGCTGTAGAATAAAAAATTCCACAAAGTTTCTGGCAAGTGTTCCATAGTTACCACACTTCGAAGAGTCACGAAGGATGGCAATGTAAAAGCCTGCCTAGTACACAGTGATTACTGGCATACTGGATACCCTGCAAGTGTGCTTGCTGCAGCTACCCAAAAAGTGTTATGCCAGTGTCACACCGGCACCTTCACTTGCGATCAGGATGATTCACATTGATTTTCTTGATTGCGATCAACTTTATAGCCTCTGGTTCACCGCCCGAGATGTTCCGGGTCGAGCTTGGGTCAGATGAAATGCACCATGTGGTTCTTGCTGCGCTCTACAACATGTCATTGACAAAACTCTGCCTACGATATTTCAATTGAGCCTTTTATCACCTATGTTATTCGTGCAAGAAATAACCACTCGACCATCAAAAACTTAAATACATCATTCGATAGAGTTTCCCTTGCTTTTACCTGTATAGCAGTGTCAGATTCTTTATCTTCACTGTTATTTCTCATGGCACTCACTTGTAGCTGTCCAGTCGGAGCGAAGCGACATTCATGTTATACAGGCCATAAATGCAAAGTCTCCCAGTCGTTCCTGCCAGTGCTTAATTACTGTAAAGGTTCTCGTTTGACCACGAAATATTCATACGACTCGGCATAGTCGAAAAACTGGCGACACTCATAATCGGTTAGCTTCGACGTGCTCCAACTGCTCTGACAGAGTGAGAGTTAAGCTAACCACGAAAGACAATGGCCATCTGCTTACTGTCCCCTTCTCCCATAAATAAATGTGGTCAATATGAATCTTGAAATAAGCAATATTTCAGGCGTGGTTTACTTTTGCTTTTTACAAAAATCTAGCTACTTTAGTGTC